TCTTACAAATCTTTTAACAATCCATCATTCAATTGTATTAAGCACATAAACATCAACATTTTCTTTATACTTGAACCTTTGCTATCAGCTCTTTTTCCCCCTCCTGCCCTTATGAATCCCTGATCAATCATGTCTTATTGTTATTTTGTGTATTATACTGTCTGTTGTCTCCCTTCACCCATATTTCTGTTACTCGTCCCCTTTGGGGAGTGGGGAGGTACCTATCCAACCTTGTGATGCCCACCCACCCTGTATTTATTTTTTATGGTAGTGTTTAAATGGTCATTTATTGGGCATCTCAGAGCAAGAGATGTGGACGAAATACCAGTGACTTCCCAATCCATAACCTTGGGATAATAATCATATCTGCTTCTTCTCACACTGGGGTGTTTGAGCCTTAAGTCCAAGGGAGTATTTCAGCTCCTTTAGTCTGCTACAGCTGTGTCTAAGGCAAACCCCAGTTCTTCGGTGGGATTCACACATCAGACCCTTCTGGTGCGTCCTTTGAAGGATGTGGTGCACCTTGAAAGGGCAGAGTCTAGAGTCTGGTTGTCTATAGCACCCTGCTGGGTCACCAAGGGCTGGGTAGAATCTCGATCAGAAGTGCCTGATGAGGAATGTGGTGCTGGGTGTGTTCTCCCATTCAGGGTGTACAGTATTATATTTTTTGCCTAAACATTTCTTGCTAGCTGAACATTGAGATTGTTCCTGATTGTTTTTCCGTCTCCGTTTTCTCATTCATCGTTCTGTAACTATCTCTGGGATGACTGCCCAAGGGTCACTTTTAAGGAGTGCTGCTCCTGGGTCCAGTGGTCTGACGCAGCAGTTCTCAACCTGTGTGTCGATACCCCTTTGGGGGTCAAACGACCCTTTCGCAGGGGTCGCCCGATTCATAACAGTAGCAAAACGACCGTGATGAAGTAGCAACGAAAATAATTTTATGCTTGGGGGGGGCCACCGCAACACAAGGAACTGTATGAAAGGGTTGCGGCTTTAGGAAGGCTGAGAACTACTGGTCCGAGGCTTGTGAAGGTTCTCGGTGTCCTGCAAAGCCAGGAAACTGCCCCCAGAAAGGCCAGAGGGCACTGGTCTCTGACAGTTCGTGCTCAGCAGGGTGGTTTTTATGCTCAGAGCAGCTGCAGGCCAGGCAGAAACAGCCATGGCCCAAAAACTACCTTTGTCCTTTCTGCATGACCCAGTGGCATAATGGGGCTTCTCCACTCCTGGTATGGGGGCTTCCCAAGGTCTTTTACCCTCTCGGTGATTCTGATGGCCTCTCTGGAGTCACGGCCCCCTGGGTGGTGAAGTCAGGCCTGAGCATTTGAGGGCAGTGTCAGTGTGTCGGGCCATGCACAGAGGGTCGCCGGGCCAGGAGGGAGAGGCCCTGGGGTATCCCAGTAGCCAGCTTTGGGGGTGTGCGTGTGGGTGGGAAGGACAGTGGCTAAGGGACTGTGGGCCAGAATGGGGTAAGTTGGACCCTGTGGTGTGAGCGGCCCCTTCCATGCCTGCCTGTGGAGGTGTCAGTGGGGACTCTGTCCACGGCTGATGGCTGGGTGTGCCGGGATCTCTCTGCCGCCTGCAGGGCTGGTCTATGACTCGGTGATGCTGAAGCACCAGTGCTCCTGCGGGGACAACAGCAGGCACCCTGAGCATGCCGGCCGCATCCAGAGCATCTGGTCCCGGCTGCAGGAGCGGGGGCTCCGGGGCCAGTGCGAGGTGAGGGGGTGCCACCGCGGCGGAGTGAAGGTGCAGGGAGTGATGGTGCAGAGGGGTTGGGTGGCCTGGGAGGGGCACACGGGGTAGGCTGTCGTGGGCCGGAAGGCCATGAGCAGGCTCAGGAGTGCATGGGCCCTCCTCCCCACCTCAGTGTCTCCGTGGCCAGAAGGCCTCCCTGGAGGAGCTGCAATCGGTGCACTCCGAGAGGCACGTGCTTCTCTACGGGACCAACCCGCTCAGCCGCCTCAAACTGGACAACGGGAAGCTGGCAGGTAGGCATCCAGCTGCCAGTCATGGCCGGGCTGCACCCCTGCACCCTCATCCCTCTCCTCCCGGCCACCCTCCCACCCAGCATTCCAGCCTCCCTGTCCACTCGGCAGCACCCTCCTTCTTACCCCACCCAGCCCTGTCCCCACCCCTGCCCAGGCCCCCTCCTCAGGGCCAGAGGCTCAGTGGACCGGCTCTCCCCACAGGGCTCCTGGCACAGCGGATGTTTGTGATGCTGCCCTGTGGCGGGGTTGGGGTAAGTGTGCCCCGGGGGGTCTCTCTTGAGTGGGTGATGCCATGGGCTCTCCAAGTTCCTCCCTCCACCTCTCCAGGCCCAGCCCCCCATTCTCCTTTGTGGGGTCCTGCCAGGCTATACGGGCCAGGGGCCTGCTAACTGGAAGCCCTGTTGGGGGTGATCTCCTGGGAACCGTCTGTCCTGACGCCCTGGAGTCTCTGGGGCCTGTCACTGTGAGGGGTTCCGTGAGCAAAGGTTGGGGAAGAAAGTGCATTTGAGGCTCCAAGGCAGGGCTGATATTGGGGCCTGGGCTCCTCTCCCTTTGTGAGGCTTGTGTCTGGGCATCGGCCACGCCCCACGCCCCACATGCCCACTGTCCCCTCCCCAGTCCTGGATGAGGGGAGGGGGCCCAGCTGCAGCACTGTCCTCAGCTTCAGTCTGCCCTGCGTGGGGCTGTCCTGATGGTGGGTCCGGTGTCCCCGGCGGGCTGGCACTGCCCTGCCCCGGCACACAACCCTTCCCGCTAGCGTTGCTTCCCCACCCCGCCTGTTGTGGGAGCTCCTGCCTCCCCTGGCAGTGCTCTGCCTGCCGGCCGGGAAGATCCCCACAGCGGGTGCCCAGCGAGGCATGGCAGCCGGGGACAGAGGCCAGTTCTGGAGGGAGAAGGGGAGCTGTAGGTGGGAGGGCCACTGGGGAGCCCGCCGGCGCCCTGTTCACAACTTCCCATTTCTCGCCACTTTCTGATTTTTCCAACTGTTGTTGCTTCTGTTTTCTCCTCCCTCCTCTCCCTCTCTGTCTCTCTGTCTCTCTCTCTCTCTCCAGCCTCTTGAGACTCTCTCTGCCTTCCTCGCCTCTCTTGGTCCGCCTCGCCCTCCCCATCTCCCCATCATGCCCCCCGGCCCCTCCCTAGCCTTGAGGCCCAGGGACTGGGTTTGGGGGGCCTCCCAGCCTGGGCTAGGGGCCCTGAGTGGAAGACAGTGGTGCAGACGGCCCCTCCAGCTCCGACCATCCCGCAGGGCCTGAGCAGAGTCAGCTGGGACTTAAAACCCCCTCCTGGCCCAAACCCCAAGTCCCGCCCAGGTAACGCCATGCCCCCTCCCCCGAGTGGGGAGGCAGGTGTGATGCTGCCAGCAGTGTGCTGGCCAGACTTGGGCTGGTGCTGGGCCTGAGGCTGGGAAGGAGGCACGCTGGGACTGGGGGACACAGGAGGCCTTGCCTTGGGGCGGTGGGGCACTGGGGAGGCAGCGCTGTCTGCCCAGCTCCCTGCCCCTGGGGTCCCGGCCCTGGGGTGGGCACGGCCTCATGGACCCTGGCACCGGGAGAGGCCCCGGATGATGCGGCCCTGACTCTGGTCCCACAGGTGGACACGGACACCATCTGGAATGAGTTGCACTCGTCCAACGCTGCCCGCTGGGCGGCCGGCAGCGTCACGGACCTCGCCTTCAAAGTGGCTTCCCGGGAGCTAAAGGTAAGAAGGAGTGTGGTGGAAGGGGCTAACGGATGGAGGAGGTGGCAGGCTGGGACACCGGGCACAGCCAGGCTCCAAACCCCAGACTGGGCTACCTGTGGCCAAAGCCCTGGTTCCTCTTGCATAAGACCCAGAGCGGTGGGGAAAACCGGGGGGTCTGGGACCGGGGTGAGATTTGAACCATAGTCTCATGTTTCCTGGTGGGCGGTCAAGCCACTGTGACTCTGGCCCTTGGCCTCTCTGAGAGCCCGCCTGGAGTTCGCACAGGTACAGAGCTCTGGGCCGCAGGCGGCGAGTGGTCAGGTGGCTCCTCCCAGGGACGTCTGTATGCCATCGACTGGGGCCCGAGTTCCTTTACTCTGGGCTGGGCACCTTCCAGGGCTTGTTCTGGGCCCAGGGCCCGGGTGGTCAGAGCGGTGTCACAGTGTCTTGGTGGGACTTTGCAGCCTGCAGAGCTACTGGAAAGCTCCCGTAGGGAGCCGAAGAGGCAGTGCATTTAGGTTAGTGGGGGTGTTGGGGGCCATTTGGAAAAGGAAGGTGACAGTGCTTATACCATTTGAAAAAATGTCACTCGTGTGTGCCACTACATTGCTGAATTGCTGTATGTTCTGTGGTGTGTTTTCAACAATGACAAGATTAGTTGTTTCGAGCACAGCCCTGGCGATTAAATCCCCTGGGGCTCACCACTTAGAAACTGGGAGCTTTCGGGCATATTGTCTAACTTGAACCACGAATGCTTTGGGTCCCCCCGCCGCCGCTTGGAGCTGAAGCTTGGCTTGTGGGAGACCTGTGAGGGTCTGGCCCCCTCCTTGTGCCTCCGAGCAGTCAGGAGGGTGAAACCCAGCACCTGGTGGAGAGTTTGGCTCCATGAAGGGTAGCTGTCGTGACAAAGCGGTAGCAGTCGGGGCACCCCGTGGCTGGGCCTGTGTGCACACCCAGCCTGAAAGGGGAGGCCGTTGGCGTTGCAAGAGGGGGTCAGGGGCCTCGTGGCATGGACCTTGGACCCTTCACCTTGGCCTAGGCTCAGTCCGATGGGCCCGCGGCTGTCGAAGCTTCTCTCAGAGGAGGCACCTGGGGCTGGGGGCAGGTGCTGCAGATGTGGCCCAAGGTCTGGCTTTTCTGTTTCCAGAACGGTTTTGCCGTGGTACGGCCCCCAGGACACCACGCAGACCATTCCACAGCCATGTAAGGCCGGGGGGGCGGGGGGGGAGTGGGGG